ATGTCCACAAAGAAGAATTCCACATATCGACTCATCCAGCAAAGACTGTACTAACTCCTTTTTTAATATTGTTCTGAAGCTATTTCCTTGTGGCATTTTAAATTAATTACTATTTAACTGGGAATAAGCCACAATTAAAGATAAAAATACGTTTATGGACGTTTCAATTTCCACTTCGGAAATAGTTCTCAAAATACAAACAGTAAATTAAACAAATTTTGTTTTTTGTTACATAGTGAAAAATTCTTCTAATAATTTAATTTTATCTGACTCATTTATATTGACAATTCAGGCATACATTATGCATTTTAAAGTAGACGACTTTAAAATGATATTGCCAATATTGTTGAGTTGCGCTCCTGGGACGACTTTACTTATAAGATAGTTTATTCGATTACATGAAATCAACTTTAACTTGAGAATATCCGTCAGAAAAAAATCATAGCATGTAATTCGTCTTTAAAAAGACAAACACATGACATGATGACAGTTAAATTCTCCTGTTAGTGATTCCATAGTAAATTATGTTACTCATAATACTATCCCGACATGATAAGTATTTGTTCGTGCATTTAGTTTACCTTAAAGAAACACCAAAATTCTGATTTTATATGTTTCGTTATTTAAAAAACATAAATGATGTATCCTCTATATGTTACTGAGTTACTAATACTGGAATTTTCTTATTAATAACTTCCTCTTTCAATATTGGTAACCAGATCCTACTACATTCTGCCGAGGAATTTGCGACACAACTGGCCTCATTTAGCATAATTAAAGCCGCTTCTTTGATTTTTCTTTTTTTACCATCCGTCTCTTTTAGGACTACATTTGAATTATTCCATTGAACCCTATGTTCATTATCCCATGCTGTTTACATATTTGAGATCTATCAAATTCTCTATTTTTAATATAAGACTTATGTTCACTTATTCTAACATTTAATGGTCTTGATGTTTCACCTAAATAAAACTGATCGCATTCACAAGGTATTTTGTAAATGCAATTCTTTGTCCTTTCTTGTTCATTGTTAGGTTTGGTTTTGGACAAAATAATCTCAACGTGTTTGTTGTTTTGAATGTTGTTGAAATGTTGAATTTATTGCCTATCCTTTTAAATTTTTCTGATAATCCTTTTATGTACGGTATTGTTATTTTCCTCGTATTATTCCTTGTGTATGCTGTAGGATCTCGTTCTAAAATAATAACAAGGAATAATACGAGGAAAAAGAACAATACCGTACATAAAAGGATTATCAGAAAAACTTCCAATAAATTCAACATTTCAACAACATTCAAAAGAACAAACACGTTGAGATCTATTTTGTCCAAAACCAAACCTAACAATGAACAAGAAAGGACAAAGAATTGCATTTATAAAATACCTTGTGGAATGCGATCAGTTTTATTTAGGTGAAACATCAAGGCATTAAATGTTATAATAAGTGAACATCAGTCTTATATTAAAAATAATTTAAATTTTTATAAATTTTTCCTTTTTTTAAGTTTTTGAATAAAGCGAGATTAAGTCTTGATTAGCGCAAAAAATCAGGAGTTCTTATTTATTAAATTCTTTTTATATCTATCCATTGTGTTTACCGTATTGTTCCATTTGTGCTTTTAAACATGTCATCTTAGTTTCTTTATCTGGATTTTAAATGAGTTAGTACAGTATTCGCTGGAAAAAAATCGGGAATATAAATAATACATACCATCGTTCTGTGAAATTGTATTTATGATTAACGTCTACATCGAAGTTTAATTACAAAATATTATAAACACACGTTATTGCAGTTCTTCGTCGTCACTGCTAGCAGTGATTTCATACTTTTCTGATGTATCAGAATGTAGACTTCTATAGCCATGATACATAGTAGGAATTTTTCCAGTATCACAAAGCCATAATAAGCCAGTTAACTTCTTCTTATCTATTGGCAAAAGATTTGTGTATACTCTAGATGGACATTCTTCTTCTTCTTCAGATGCAAACCCACTAATGGATGTTAGCGATCACATTTTCCATTAATTCTCTATTTCTTGCAATATGTATCAGAGATTGTATGTCGTTAATCCCTGTCCATGGCCTTGTGTTTCGGAGCCAAGTCATTTTCTTGCGTCCCATTCCACTCTTGCCTTCAATTTTTCACTCGATTATAAGTTGAAGGAACTGGTATTTTTCATTTCGCATGATGTGACCTAGATACGCCGTTTTCCTTTTCCTGATGGTTTCGAAAAGTTGGCGTTCTTGGTTTATTCTTTTAAGGACATCTATATTTGTAATTTTCGCTGTCCATGGAATTTTTAGGATACGGCGATAAAGCCACATGTCGAAAGCTTCTAATCTGTTTATATCCCTCGTTTTGAGTGTCCAGCCCTCTACGCCATATAGCAGCACTGACCATACGTAGCACTTAGTAAACCTTAGTCTTAGTTGAAGATCAAACTCTGAACAAATCAGTACTTTCTTGAATTTTAGGAAAGCTTGTTGAGCTTGCTCAATGCGACATTTTACTTTACTGTCCATGCCCAGTCGTCAAAAAGCCACGATCCCAGGTATTTAAATTTACTCACTTTTTCAATAGGACTTAGTATTCAGTGTTATGGTGGAGTTTTCAAGTGCATCTAAGTTTCTGGAGATGATCATAAATTTGGTCTTTTTGGTATTAATCTCTAATCCCATTCGCTTACTGTATTCTCCGATTATAGTGACAAGTTGTTGAAGATCGACTATGTTGTCACAAATTAAGACATCATCATCAGCATATCGTATGTTGTTGATCAATACTCCATTCACCTTGATTCCCATCTCTGCATCCTCCAAAGACTCTTGAAATATGGCTTCCGAATAAATGTTAAATAAAAGAGGGGAAAGCACACATCCTGTCGAACGCCTCTTCTTATATGTATGGGTTTGGATATAGAATTGTCCATTTTAACTGTGCCGTTTGATGCCAGTACAAGTTTTCAATGCATCTTATGTCTTTTTGGTCTATATCAACTTTCTTGAGAATCTGCATTAACTTGTGGTGTTGGACACGATCAAACGCTTTTTGGTAATCTAAAAAGCATAGGAACACATCCTTCCTCTGATCGTAACAATTTTGGACCAGCATCTTTGTGTCTACTATTGCTTCTCGTGTTCCTAAACCTTGCCTAAACCGAACTGGGAGTCACTGATGTCCCATTCACATTTTTTGTATAATCTTTGATGTAGTATTTTTAAGAATATCTTTAAAGTGTGACTCATCAGGCTAATGAGTCTGTGATCCTCACATATTTTTGCATTGACTTTCTTGGGCAGGGCTATAAAAGTAGAGCGTAACCACTGTTGAGGATAGCAGCCAGTTTCATAAATTAAATTAAATATTTTGTGTAGTGCTGAAATTCCCCTTTCATCTAGTAATTTGAGTATTTCTGACGGGATTTCATCTGGTCCAGGTGCCTTATTGTTTTTTGAATTTAATATTGCCTTTTCTATCTCCTCTTTGGTGATTGAAGGGCCAGTCAGCTGGTCGTCTGTATAAACTTCACTCATGGGTCTTTCGTCATGGAAGAGCTCCTGGATATAATTTTCCCATATATTAATTTTCTCCTTTTTACCCAGCACTATCTGGTTATCCTGATTAACTATGGTAGTTGGTCTTCGTTTTCTGTATATTCAGTAGTCTCTTTAAGCTTTTTATGTAAATTACGGTCGTCGTGCTGTCGTTGTAAATGTTCTAGATCGATACATTGTTGCTTAAGCCATTTATGTTTTGCTATTCTTATTTTTGCTTTTATTTGCCTTTTAATGTTTTCATACATATTGCTGGACATTGATCAATACGAAATAGGCGTCCCCTTTTTGCTTTTGTTAGATCACACCTGATAGATTCGGAACTTAAAACATACTTAAAAAAAATAACATTTGGTGTGTTATACGAAGTACTGATTTATTTTTTCAAGCAGAGTGGACATTCTGATTGTTTATTATTCTGTGCTATGGGTTACAAGTGGACAGTGTCCACTTATTTCCCTGTATGGTGTCCACATCTGCTTCGTATGCACAGTTTTTCATAAGCACCGGATATCTGTTTTTAGATTATGACTAGAACAAAACTGTAAAAACTTCACCTGATATCAAATATGATAGTATTTAAAATACGATGTACTTTACAAGGAAACACAGAATGGCGCTAAATAAATATTACGATCTAAAAAAACTGTTTGATTAGTTTGATTTGACATCAATTGATTAGTTTAGTTTGACATTGAATTTATTTCTTGGCATATAACTATATCACTAGTCCACCTAGGAGAGTAAATTAGAACCATTCAAAAAAAAATCTACACCGAAAAAAATGCACTGTCCACTTGTGCCTTTATCTACATGTGCCTCCCCTTTCCCTAAATTAAAATAATAGGTAAAAATTGGGTAAAATTATTGGAAAAATAGAAAGTAAGAGCTTTATAAACAAGACTGAAGCAATAAGAAATAATGGAGCATGGCATGAGAGATGCGTTGATATTATTAAAGTTTTTTTGCGTAGAAGTATCATTAAGTAAAACAAAATGACGGTATTAGATTTTGACATGAAGTAGTAACTATACCGTACTGAGGAGATCTAAAGAGATCAAAATACGTATATGCGGCTTGTTGCTGCTCTGTATTAAATCAAAATCTAATACCGTCATTTTGTTTTGTTTATTTACTTCATTTGGAGTACCAGAAATCGAATTCACTACGAATATAGGTCATGATGAACGGCATTTGGAGTGCAATTTTTAGACTCCCTTGCCGATTCATTCATCAAGCTGTTTACTTCGCAAGTTTTACGGAGCACGGCGGCTTATATTTGAATTCGATTTCGCCAGGTAGAAATCGTATGATTTCTCTTTTTGTTTTTATCATTAAGTAATTACTTGCTGAGTAGCAAATATTTGTTTCGTTATTTAAAAAAATAATAAAAACATTGATAAAAATAAATAATTAACTTGTTTAATTATTGTTTTTGTTTACAGGAAATTACAGCTGTCTAATGGTAGAACTAATATTTACCAGAGATCGAGCCTTTTATTTTACGACAGTATTCATACCTGGTATAATATTGGTTACATCATCGTTCATAACCTTTTGGTTAGAATGGAATGCAGTACCTGCTAGAGTTATGATTGGTAAGTATTGCGATACGTAGCCATGATAACATAACAAATAATAATTAAAGAAAATTAATAAAATAATTTCATCAACATAATATAATATTCAATTAAAAATAAGAAATTTTGACATGTATTTTAAAAAGATATAGAGGTAAAATATGGAAAATTCAGTTGTGAAAAAAATTCAAATTGCCAAATGGTATTACCAAAATAATACGCTCTCACAAATTCATTAAATGAAATTTCATTAATTAAAAACGGTATCGCGTGTCATAAACAATGTTTAAAGTCAAGAATTCGTCAACCATTGCAGTCACAAATATGAGCCTGTTTTTGATAAAACTTAGAAACAGAAAGAAGTACAATAAATATACTAGTCAAAACAAAAGGCAAAAAAGTATTTTTGAAGTGTGTATATTTTAAATAATCCTAGCTGAGCGCTTTCGGCTTTTATAAAGCCATTATCGGAGCTATGCTACAATAAAATGTTCTTATAAGTACTAATTGGTGAATCAAGCTTTTAATGTTGATAAAAAATCCAACACTACTTCCATATATAGATCCTTATCTTACTTAGGACCAATTTTAGAAAAAATTTGAACAAAAAACAAAAGAGTACTTGTTAATAAAATCAGTGACTTAAACATCTCCTTTAAAACCAAATATAACATCAAGTCCATCTTCAGCAAGACCAAAGACAAAGTTGACAAACTAAACAGAAGTGGTATTTACAAGCTGTCCTGTGGTGACTGTAATATGACTTATGGAGGTAGAACAATGAGAACTTTGAATCAAAGAATCAAAGAACACCTCAATAATCCAGAAAAATCAAACTTTGGATATCACATTAAATTTAATAATCATTTCTTTTCTCCTTCTGAAAACAGTAAAATTTTACACAACATTCCCAATAAAAACTTTAGACTCATGAATCTCTTGGAAGATCTTGAGATATCCAAAGAAATGAAACTAAACCCTGATTGTTGCTTAAACACACAAATCAACCTCAATTGCAATTATAAACCTCTTTTTAAATTATTATGGGAGACTTTAGAGGAAGAAGGGTGACCTTATGCAATCTTATTACATTTTTTCATAATTTTATATTTTTAAACAAAAATTCTAAACTTTATTATAAATTTACAACATTTTGTAATTCATTTGACAGTTATTCTTAATTGAAACATGAAAATATATTCTTTAAAAAATTTTTATGCAAATTTCTTACAAATTTCCATCAAGAGATACAATTCTCAATACACTTAAGTATCAGATAATGTAACATTAATACCATGTTTCTTCTTTATATTATTGTTGAATGATTTGAGCCCTTGTTTCTTAAGGATGACTGTCAGATTGAACATACATTGACCTTGAGCAATGACTTGAGTGAATTTAGAAACTAATGTCATTCTGTATGATGTGATGAACACATAAGATTTAATTTAAAAACTTAATTTTTAGAAAGTCTTTGATGACTATTAGTAATTCCAAACTATTAAATATAATTTTGTAAGAATTTAAAACATTCTTTATTTCCTATATATGACATTTGTCAACTGTCACTTTTGAAAAATCGTTTAAAAGGACCGACATTTGATTTCATTAGTTCTATTCTGTCTACCTCCTCACAGCAAACAATGGTCGGGTTCTTACACCCGTACCATGACAAAAAATTCTTTAATTTTTTAATGTGTCTGTGAAGTCCAGTGTCGGTTTTTTGTATGTTTTTTTAAGAATTTTAACAACTAAGTAATTAAATAAAAAATCAATATTTCAACATATAAGGAAATGAGATCTCTCCATTGTAGTGGTATTTATAAATTGACGTAAGTAAAAAATTAAAAATCTTCACCAATTAGTACTTATAAGAACATTTTATTGTAGCATAGCTCCGATGATGGCTTTAGAAAAGCCGAAAGCGCTCAGCTAGGAATTATTAAAAATATACACACTTCAAAAATACTTTTTTGCCTTTTCTTTTGACTTGTCATAAGTGTGTAAAAAAAACATATCGGTCTTTTGATTAATAAATATACTACCATCAAGAGGTAATATGTAGAAGTACGGCTAAACCTAAAAAAGTTTTGAAGAAAAATGGTTATCGATCACATAAAATTAATAAAACATTATGGGAGTTCCCAATGAGAATTTTCTACGCATTCAGTTTTGTCCACGTGGTAATGGAAAAGGCTAACGGTACCGACAATTTTTGTCACAACATTTTGTCTACGGATAAGTCAAAATTTCCAATAATACTTTATCTAAATTTATCCCGCATGCAATATTTTAAAAGTGCAAATTCAGTATCAATATTATTGGACCATTTTTCATAGACAGATACCTAACTGCAGTAAAACTTTTAGACCTACTATAACAGCTTTTTCTTCTTCTTTGAGTGCTCTCCTAATGGAGATTAAATATCATTAGGGCGATTCTAATTTTATTTACTGCTGTTTTAAATAATTCGTTAGTGGTACAGCTAAACCACTCTTTTAAATTTCTCATTTAGGACATTCTTTTACGGTCTGGATTTCTGCGTCCTTGGATTTATCCTTGCATTATATTTTGTAGGAATGTGTACTTTTGTCCTCTCATCAGGTGGTCTAAGTATTCAAGTTTTCTTTTTTTAATATTTAGTATAACTTCTGGATCGTTATTTATTCTGTGTGTTACCTCTTCATTTGTAATTTTATCCACCCAACTTTTAGCCTACGGCGGTAACACCACATCTCAAAGCTTTCAAGATTTTTAACACTCCTCTGTTTAAGAGTCCATGCCTCAACACCCTAAAGCAAAGTACTGAATACATAGCATTTTAACATTCTAGTTCATAGATGCATACTAATATCACGATTATAAAATATTTTTTTCATTTTTATAAAGCTAGACCTGGCAATTTCAATACGTCTTTTTATCTTGTGATTTTCGTCACCTGTTTCATTTATGAGTGTTCCCAAGTATTTGTATTCGCTTACTTTTACGAGTTGGGTACCATTTATTGCTATACTAGTGTCATGTATTGTATTCTTACAGAAGATCATATACTTGGTTTTTTTGACGTTCATCCTTATGCCGTAGTTAATGCATATCTCATTCATACTTTCAACTAGATGTTGCAGATCTTCCGCTATTCTTGCCATTATCACAGGATCGTCAGCATATCGAATGTTATTGAAAACTTCGCCATTGACTATTATCCCTTTGTTTGCATGTGAGACAGCTTCTTGGCATATTTGTTCGCTGTATATATTAAACCAGAGCGGTGGCAATATACAACAGGACATTGTTTTAAAAATGGTATAGTTTCTGACGAAAGATAAAATAATTTCTATAGATATAAAAAGACACCGTGATATAACAGCGTTTGGAGCAGATATTTAGATATTAACTTCTCAAATCTTTTAATACGCCGATAATATTATTAACTACCTTGTGGCCAGCAAGATGACCGGATCTATCAACCAATGATTTTTTTTATAGAAATGCCTCAAATCATTTATTTATTAGCCCTAAGATGCTTGCCAATGTCCGAGAAAAAATGTATGACCGTATGGGTTACTACGTTGCTTAGTAAGGCATCTCTTTTAAGCATCTTTTATAAATATTTTTTTATCATTGTTTATCAAAAATTCTTTTATTTAAAATGAAATAAAATGCATACCAAAGGACTGAAAATCAAGTATAACTATCCCTATACACAAAAAAGGGAACAAATATGTCCCATCTAACTATCAAACTATTATATTGATTGATATCAGTTTAAAATTATTGACTAAGATACTTGCTGAGAAAAGTAATTAAAAAGTATTAACTCATTTTACTTTTACACCTTTAAAGTTTAACCTAAAAGTATCAGCACTAAAGACAAGTCCCTTGTGATTACTAGTATCAAAAGTATTGAAATTCGGCTATCTGGGAACGCAAATATCGTATTATGGAAACATCGCCGACATAACTTGCATACAAGCTAATAAAGCAGGCGTGATATGGAGAAATAAGAACATGAGGATAGAAGGAAACACACGCATAATATACAGAGTGGCCCAAAAGTCTGGAAACGGCTAATTATCTCATTAAATTACCAGACATAATTATATAAAATTTGAGATACGCCTATTTTGGGATACGGAGATTCCATATTGCGTATTTGCAATGTTGCCAGATTTTCAGTTTCTCTTCTATTACTAGTAACTTTGGTTTTTCAAATGCATTACCCTGTATATTCAGTCATTATTGGAATCTCCTATTAAATATGAGTTCAACCATATGTAACATTTATGATTTTATGTAGTCTGAAAGGTCTTAAATACATCAAACAGAAGTCTGGCAACGCCTAAATTGTTTCAATACATTTTTAATACTAACTACTTTCAAATACATTAAAACGTAACAATTGATAGTTTAGTATTTTTTAACATAGTAGTTACGTTACTAAGTGTTCAAAATGTGATCCATTTGTGAGTTGACAGCACCCTAATCGATGGTAGAAGGCGTCTACCACATTTCTCCATGATTGTCTAGAAATTATTCGAGATTCATCGATAATTCATTGCCTTAGCTATGCAAGACTTGCTGGTTAAGTTTTGTAAACTGAATTTTTCAAGTATCTCTAATAAAAATAATTTTTAGGATTGAGATCGGGTGAACGTGGAGGCCATTCAATTCTACCTTGTCTAACAATTTATCGTCCGGGAAATATCTCATCTAAATATCGCCGAACATTTACACCAACTATCTGACGTTAAATTTCTTTCGTTAAAAAATGGCCCAATACTATGTTAAAAAATGTTCTAAACTATTAATTGTTACGTCTTAATGTATTTGAAGATAGTTAGTATTAAAAAATTTATTGAAACAATTTAGGCGTTGCCAGACTTCGGTTTTATGTATTTATGACCTCCAGATTACATAAAATCATAAGTGTTACATATGGTTGAACTCATATTGATTAGGAGATTCCAATAATGACTGAATGTACAAGGTGATGTATTTGAAAAACCAAAGTTACTAAT